GAGGTTATCTAGGGTTGAGCGGCCAGGAGTGAAACCGCTTTGATCTGGGTTTATGATGTTATTTTGGGTTAAGTAATGTTGTAATCTATTTTTAGCCATTGATTCCATTACTTTACATAAGTTTGAAGTTAGGGATATTGGTCTATATGAGTTAGCTTGATTAGCTGGTTTATTAGGTTTAGGGATTGGTATGACTAGGGCCTGTTTCCAGGGGGTAGGAACCTGTCCGTTTAGGTAGATGAGATTGTATAGTTTGAGTAGTGCCCTCCAAAGATACCCTCCTCTCTCTCTCTACATATCACTAATTAGATCAAAACTAGACTACGGCTGCGCCATATACAATACCCTAAACAACTCTCTATCTAAAAAACTTGACTCAATACAATATCAGGCTCTCAAACTAATTACACGCACCCAACAAGGCACCTCCTACACTTCACTTCAGGCCTTAACAGGAGAAATGCCACTAAGTCTACGCAGGGAACAGCTAAGCTTAAATTTCTGGGCCGCGTACCAATCAAACCCTCTCATCCAAAACTTAATAAACCAAAATATCAGCCCCCAAAACCAAGCTCTAGCTCGTAAACACCCCTTACTTACCCCAATATCCCAAAGAATAACAAACTGCCTAAATGAACACCAAACTCAAAATCTTAAACAAAACTGCAAAAAATCAAATATCTTCACCCCTAAACTTAAAATACCCAAAATAGACACAACACTAGCTAGCCAAATAAATAAACAAACCGACCCAAAGATAGCTAAAACCACCACACTAACATACATACACGAAAATTGGCCAAATTGGTGTCACATTTACACGGATGGATCTTCAGATCCGACCTCCAAACACACAGGTTTCGGAGTCCATACCACACAACCAACTAAAACCACACAATCCTTCCGACTCCTAAACAACCAATCAATATTCACGGCAGAACTAATGGGCATGGCCTCAGCCCTCCATAATCAAGAATCCATAAAACCACAAAAAAAATCCTAATACTTACCGACTACAGTGGACTACAAGCCCTCCAAAACAAAAATACCCAAAACCGACCTAAATTAATAAATCAAATACTTAAAAGCTCCAACGACCTAACTAAGGCAGGCAAACAAATAACCTTCTTGTGGATACCCGCCCACGTAGGAATATACGGTAATGAAAACGCCGATAAGGCAGCTAAACTATCCCTCAAAATCCCAGAAATAAGCTTAAACTTACCCATCTCAAAATCAGAAATTTAAATCGTAAACAAGCAAAAAATCACCCAAAAATGGCATAACCTATATCTAAACTCAAATAGCCAAATCAAAAAAGTACTCAGCAAACCACTAACCAAACCAAAAATTCTCCATCCATCAAAAAAAAATCGACAGAGTAATCACTAAACTCCAAACAGGACACACCAACCTAAATAACCACCTAAATTTTTTTTTAAAAACCACTATAAGTAACTGCCCACACTGCAAACAACTAGAAACCCCAGAACACTCACTCATCCACTGCACACACTACCTAACTCATCGAACTGCATTACAAACCATCCTCAATCTAAACAAGGCTCTCACTCTAGAAGCAATACTAAACCCACAAAATAAACTAGAAAACTTCAAGGCCTTAGGCGTATTCTTAATAAAAACGGAACTAATAAAACGCATCTAAAAACACTATAATCTACCAAATCAAAATTTCATAAACAAACAAACATCCACCATACAATGCTCCCTTAGTTCTCCTCCCCAATCCCATCGGCATCTATTCCAAATCTCAAAATGCCCAAATTCTATATAAGCAACCCCTAAAGCCCCCTCTTGGGTTGCACAGACCACTTTCGCCCCTTTCGGAAACACATTGAAAGGCCTGGCCGGGCCCGTGTGCGAAATACGAATCAGTCGGAAAGCGCACGTTAAATCTCCAAAGTAAGTAAGTAAGTAAGCACTATCAATCACTTGCTTGATAAAGGTGTTAGGATCTACACCGAAACGTCGCACTAACTGTAATAAAGAAGTTGTTCATCCATAGAACTCGTCTTACTTCATCACACCAACTTCTAAATGCCACTCAAAGAAGTTAAAACCATTCGTTTCAAACACTGTAAACACCCGCAGCTGTCCGATCTTGACAGCAACAAAGTTTGGGATTTCAAAACCAAGGTCGCTAACTGTCCACACGAAACGTCTCTTGTCTAATAGCGAGAACAGCCACCTGTCACCTGGGATTGTAGCTAGCATTCTAAATCGGCAATACAACCTACGCCGCAAAATGCCCCGAGTCCTTCACTCACGTCAAGGAACTCTTGTCATAGGCTGTGAACAAACAATAGTGTCCGTCTCAGACAAATATCAATGTTACAGATGAATCAAGATAAGCTGAGCACTGGTGAACAAATGTTGAGAGCGTGAAGAACAGACCAGGAGAGCCACCTGTGAAGAGGATCTCATGTGCGACATCGTTGCGATTGAAGAGGCATCTGAGGTAGAATCTAGTTATCTTTCTGATCCACATAAGAATACGCGACTCAACAACGCTACCCTTATCTTACAAGGTTGGCCTGACACTGTTTTTGCATACTAGCAACGAGTCATTTTCCCGAGGCAAGGGCGTTTACCGACTATCAAAGTCCAGTTCCCACACTTGCCGAACTAGGCTGGAATTTCCAGGCTCGATCGTTGCGCAAACAGTGGCCATTACGAGTTATTTGCCTCTTCTGTGTCCCTCCTATTGACCAAACAGATTCCATCACACATATCACATGCATTTGCTTGAAACAAAATGGCGGCTTCCAGTCAAAACGTTCTGATTGATAATCAAGTTCTATATTTTGAAAAACGGGTCTTACCCCGCAAAGTGCATTACATCACTTGAACACCTTGATTAAAAACAAGAAAAGACTTGGAAAGTGTCGACGCCAAGTTGGCGGAACACATGCTTTGCAAATCCGGCAGTTGACTGATATCTGCAAGTTGAAATCCATGTAGTTCGATATGCGATTTTGATTGGACAATGCCTAGACTCGTTAGTCCAGGCAAAATGTAACTCCGGAATCCAGCCAAGTTCGGCAAGGATTGAAACTGGACTTTTATAGTCGGTTAACTCCCTTGCCACGGGAAGATATTCTTGGTGAAAACGTCAACTAGGACTCTTAACTGAATACCGACGGTAGTGCTGAATGGAGCCACCAAAGCTTCCAGCCAAGTTCGGCAAGGGTGGGAACTGGACTTTTATAGTCAGTTAAACCTCGGGAAGATGGCAGCGAGTGTACCCTCAGAGAATTCTGTTTCAGCTGGACTAACGATCACCATGCAACGATCCAGTCTTGAACCCGATGTGGGAGTTGATATCATAGTTTTATTGATTGGTGTCAATGATTTTAGTGAATCAGAACTCATAGGCCAATACATTCATAGTTGATATTTCTGTGTATGTTGTTTAAAATTTTTCATTGGAGAATTAAGGTTGAAATATTTTTTTAAGTGTTGTGTCATTTACAATTCACACAAAATAAAATAGACATACTGATGAAATTACAATTCAATGTGTATTAATTGTAAAAAATCATTATCAATGGAAAAAAAAGATAAAATAATTAAGATTGCACATTATTTAGATTAAATAAAGTATACAGTACGCATTGTATTGGTGACTCAATATAACAAAAATAAATTACATATATTCGATGATATGATAAAATCAGTATTTGAGCACGAAGTAAGAATTTCCAAGAATTGTAATTTATTTTTATCATTATCTACTCACTATGCCAAATAACATTAAGCTTTGCATTTTTCTGAAAGTGTGAAACGGTCATAACTTGCCTTTGCTTTGATAGCCAAGATTATTTCTATCTCTGATTAGCTGAACACTCGTAGGTGTGTCTGAATAAGCCAATAGTGGCGATTGGCAAAATCGAAAGCAAATGCAATTGAGGTTTACTGAGAAAACATTATGTGAATTGCAAAACTTCCTCATCGATAACATCTATGTTAAGACATTTAGGCAAGAAGAAGGAATCCCCAGGGGCACCAATTGTGCTCCCCTTCATGCTGATGTGTGTCATATGCAGATGAATTGGAATTTCTGCTAGCATTGGCAAACTTTCCATCCAATGATTTACACATCTGAACTAGAAATACAGGTGACCAGTATGACAAGAGGAATGACTTCAACTTTCCAGTAGTCAACTTTCATTTTATGTCGAACAATTTGCCTCTGTGTGTGTGTGTGTGTGTGTGTGTGTGTGTGTGTGTGTGTGTGTGTGACGGGTGCCACTGGTGGGGCAGGATACGCGGACACACTATTTGATAGAGATTCATAAATACATGCTCATGATATAGTCGGAATAATGCACTGAGTGCGGAGTTCAACAACAATACGAGCCATCAACATGTTAAAGGGAGAGCTTCAAGTAGTGTAATTTACATCACGAGCTGCCGAGTCCACGGTGTGCAACACGTTCCTATAAATGAACAACTTGGATGAAATGGTTTTCGTGCAGGAAAATTTGAAATATTAAAGTTGAAAACATCGAGATACTGGAACATTTTAGGAAACTTTGTCCGAGAATGTTACTTAAATTTATTTGGACTTTGGCTGTCTTGATATCTTTGGGATGCCAGAAAAAGAGTCAATACATTAACGTTGGCACTAAGTTGGTTAGAAAGACTGCCAATGTCTTTATTTTGACATTACATTGGAATTGGAATTTACGTAATTTATATCTTGTTTGTTGTTTAACGCCGCACTCAGCAGTGTTCCTTCTATATGAGGGCGGTCTGAAAATAATCAAGTCTGGACCAGACAACCCAGTGATTGTCACCATGAGCATCGATCCACGCAATTGGGTTACGATGACATGCATCAACCAAGTCAGCGAGCCTGACCACCCGATCCCGTTAGTCGCCTTCTACGACAAGGATAGTCGCCTTTTACGGCAAGCATGGGTTGCTGAAGATCTATTCTATCCCGGATCTTCACGGGTTAATTTTAAAGAGCCGACCTCAATATTATCGCTTGACGAAACTGCCGGAGACAACCGTTGTAAAGCATGATCTGAAAAAGTGTTACAATTAATTATCTGATGATATGTTTGGTTGTTATTTAACGCCGCGGTCTGTAAACACTCGAGTATGGACCCGACAATCCAGCGATTGACATTACGAGCTTCGATCCACGCAACTGGGATACGATGACATACATCAACCAAGTCAGCGAGCCTGATCACCCGATCCCGTTAGTCGCCTCTTCCGACAAGCACAGTCGCATTTTGCGACAAGCATGGGTTGCGGAAGTCTTATTCTAACCCTGATCTTTGTAATTAATTGTATTTAACTCGAATGGAGCAATATGTGACAGAGATACATGCATAACTAGATGCAGCTGTATTTTGACCACAACAATCTCCTACATGTACACATTAGCGCTCCTATTATGGACACTTATATAAGCCGTCCCGTTGCTTTATGTTTGCAAGGAAATAACATTGCAAAGGCCGTACCTTGGCAATAGCACTTGGCAACAGAGGGGAAGTAGTGTGGAGTCACTGGAGTGGACCCTTATAATGATCCTACAGTCAATCGGTTCAGGAAATTAACAATGTATATCTTCTGGTTTGTGTTTTTTTATATTTTGTTTGTTGTTTAACGCTGCATTCAGCAATATTCCAGCTATATGACGGCGGTCTGCAAATAATCAAGTATGGACCAGACAATACAGTGATTGACGTCATAAGCATCATAACAGAACAGAACTTTATTTACGCTCAGGCCGGGATCCTCGGCATATGAGGTACAAATTTGCAAACAGTAAATACATAAGATGGCGGGATGGTTTACATGGAAGATTTTACAGTTTTCATAATGACATTACAGAATGTACAGAGTTTCTTAATAACATTTATTTTTTACAATTAAAAAGTTCTTTAAATTTAAACATATTTGGGGTTTTAGCATATGAAATTGGAAATTATATTTTCGTTGGGTCTTGAAAAATTGACAAACAAAAATATAATGGAATTCATCACCAACGTCGCTCATGTCGCAGAGTTTACACGTACGTTCATTGACAGGGATTTCGTGCCACCTACCTAGTTAAATAGGTAAATGGTGGCACGAGGTTCTAAACAGAAGGAATTTTACAGCCAACGAGAAAGGGATAACTAATAAATACTTTTCAAGGACGAGTTCAGTTTTAAATATGCGATATGTGATACCTTTAGAAGAATGTGTAATCTCTGCATTCCATGTTTGAGTTGCTATATTAGATAATCTTAACGACATGATCGATTAAAGGACATTAGGAATAACTGTTTGTTTGCTTAACCAATAGAACCTGAAGCCCGTTTCATTGAAAATACTTTCCAAACATTTTATCCATTTTTCATCCCCCGCCACGAAGTGGAAGGGGGATATAAGAATGGTTGCCGTCCGCCCGTCCGTCCTTCCGTCCTTCCATCCGCTCGTCCGTCCGTCACATTTCGTTTCCGGAGCAGATCTTGAAAACCGTAACATATTTCTTCACCAAACTTGGCACATAGATAGGTCTAGTGGTGAACTGATGCCTTTTGATAGTTTGGGATTTAAAAAAAAAAATTGTTTTGAGTTTCCATAGCAACGACTTTGAATTAGACTGAAAATGGCGGTAGTCCCCGTTTCCGGAGCAGATCTTGAAAACCGTGCCATATTTCTTCACCAAACTTGGCACATAGATAGATCTAGTGGTGAACTGGTGCCTTTTGATAGTTTGGAATTTTCCCAAAAATATTTGGTCGGGATGGTTTACATGGAAGATTTTACAGTTTTCATAATGACATTACAGAATGTACAGAGTTTCTTAATAACATTTATTTTTTTACAATTAAAAGGTTCTTTAAATTTAAACATATTTGGGGTTTTAGCATATGAAATTGGAAATTATATTTTCCGTTGGGTCTTGAAAAATTGACAAACAAAAATATAATGGAATTCATCACCAACGTCGCTCATGTCGCAGCGTTTACACTTTCGTTCACTGACGGGGATGCTGTGCTACCTACCTAGTTCAATAGGGAAATGGTGGCATGAGGTTCTAAACAGAAGGAATTTTACAGCCAACGAGAAAGGGATAACTAATAAATACTTTTCAAGGACGAGTTCAGTTTTAAATATGCGATATGTGATACCTTTAGAAGAATGTGTAATCTCTGCATTCCATGTTTGAGTTGCTATATTAGATAATCTTAACGACATGATCGATTAAAGGACATTAGGAATAACTGTTTGTTTGCTTAACCAATAGAACCTGAAGCCCGTTTCATTGAAAATACTTTCCAAACATTTTATCCATTTTTCATCCCCCGCCACGAAGTGGAAGGGGGATATAAGAATGGTTGCCGTCCGCCCGTCCGTCCTTCCGTCCTTCCATCCGCTCGTCCGTCCGTCACATTTCGTTTCCGGAGCAGATCTTGAAAACCGTAACATATTTCTTCACCAAACTTGGCACATAGATAGGTCTAGTGGTGAACTGATGCCTTTTGATAGTTTGGGATTTAAAAAAAAAAATTGTTTTGAGTTTCCATAGCAACGACTTTGAATTAGACTGAAAATGGCGGTAGTCCCCGTTTCCGGAGCAGATCTTGAAAACCGTGCCATATTTCTTCACCAAACTTGGCACATAGATAGATCTAGTGGTGAACTGGTGCCTTTTGATAGTTTGGAATTTTCCCAAAAATATTTGGTCGGGATGGTTTACATGGAAGATTTTACAGTTTTCATAATGACATTACAGAATGTACAGAGTTTCTTAATAACATTTATTTTTTTACAATTAAAAGGTTCTTTAAATTTAAACATATTTGGGGTTTTAGCATATGAAATTGGAAATTATATTTTCCGTTGGGTCTTGAAAAATTGACAAACAAAAATATAATGGAATTCATCACCAACGTCGCTCATGTCGCAGCGTTTACACTTTCGTTCACTGACGGGGATGCTGTGCTACCTACCTAGTTCAATAGGGAAATGGTGGCATGAGGTTCTAAACAGAAGGAATTTTACAGCCAACGAGAAAGGGATAACTAATAAATACTTTTCAAGGACGAGTTCAGTTTTAAATATGCGATATGTGATACCTTTAGGAGAATGTGTAATCTCTGAATTCCATGTTTGAGTTGCTATATTAGATAATCTTAACGACATGATCGATTAAAGGACATTAGGAATAACTGTTTGTTTGCTTAACCAATAGAACCTGAAGCCCGTTTCATTGAAAATACTTTCCAAACATTTTATCCATTTTTTATCCCCCGCCACGAAGTGGAAGGGGGATATAAGAATGGTTGCCGTCCGCCCGTCCGTCCTTCCGTCCTTCCATCCGCTCGTCCGTCCGTCACATTTCGTTTCCGGAGCAGATCTTGAAAACCGTAACATATTTCTTCACCAAACTTGGCACATAGATAGGTCTAGTGATGAACTGGTGCCTTTTGATAGTTTTGGATTTATAAAATAATAATTTTTTGAGTTTCCATAGCAACGACTTTGATTTAGACTGAAAATGGCGGTAGTCCTCGTTTCCGGAGCAGATCTTGAAAACCGTGCCATATTTCTTCACCAAACTTGGCACATAGATAGGTCTAGTGGTGAACTGGTGCCTTTTGATAGTTTGGAATTTTCCAAAAAATATATTTTCAAGTTTCCATGGCAACGACTTTGACTGAAAATTGCGGTAGTCCTCGTTTCCGGAGCAGATCTTGAAAACCGTACCATATTTCTTCACCAAACTTGGCACATAATGTCATCTCGCGGTATTGAACACATTTCCATTCTTGTTGGTAAGTTCTGCATCGCTTGTGTTTATCTTCCTCCAAAAGTGTCATGGACACGGTTGTTACATTCATTGACTAACTTTATGCAGAAACACAACTCATTACAAATACAACAGTGTAACTGATCTTAAACCTACTCAACTGTATTAACACTGCCTCCTATCCTGTATATATTCTTGTCGACCATACTCTGTACTTCACTTGCTTGATAATGGTGTTAGAACCTACACCCAAATCATCGATACAAATTGTAATAAAGAAGTTGTTTGTCCATTTGTCTCATCCTTACTCTTTCCAAATACAGTTACATATTCTATCATAAACTGCAGATGGGAAACAACACCAGTAATAACTATTTTTACTGCTGCAAATAAGGCCATTTACAAAAAGGCCCAGTGAACATAGTTCACAGGAGCTAATGAATTGCACACAACCGGACATGTCATATTGGCGGGGGATATGAGTATTTCATGCTTGTTACAGCTATTATTTGTACAGACTTCAATGTATAACATTTGATATAGAATTCTTGATAACTTTTGTTCTTTGCCAGATAAGACCTTAGCCCAAAAACATACCATTCGGCATTTGATAGAACTACTTAAAGGTACTCTTCCAAGTTCTCCATACAACATTATAAAGGTGTATTTTTCTGAATAGGAAGTAATTTAAGTAGAAACAGATTCAATTTGTTTACAATTTTCAAAACCCCAGATTTCACAACCATATAATAGAATTGGTTACAATAGCATAAAAGAGATATAATTGACATTTTATGGATAGATTAAATGTTTTACTCTTACGTAATACAAAGTACATGGCCTTTATGGCAGATTCACAATTTGCTTTTAGTTTTTTGTTTTACTAGTATTGATATGTAATCTCCATTTTCTGCAGTAAAGTGAAAACATATCAAACATATTTTGTAAACTTTGATGATTAAAAGCTAACAAAACTGTATCATCTGCATATACACATGTAGTAATGCGAACAAAACAACGGAGAGATCTAACAGACCAATAAGTGACAGAGATTGAATAGAAACACTAGGGCAGTTTTGAGAATATAAAAACGATTCCAGATAATATAGAAACAATGAAAACAATATTGGGGACAGATTTTCTCCTTGACAAGGGAAATGTTCTGAATATACACCGTTTGAACACACACATGATGTAATGCCATCGTACATATAAACAATAATACGAATGAGTTTCCCATCAATACCTTGTGCTGATATTTTTTTCCATAATCCTATACGCCAAACATTGTCAAAAGTT